AAATAGCGTATTGCAGGAACTTTGTCTTTGGTTTGCTGTAACTATTTTTGTGACGACTTCATGTTTTATTGTTCTCCATAGTGCCATCGCGATGAAAATCCTTTCCCGAGAACATTTCAAGGGGGGAACCGTTTCAAACTCAATTTTTCATTGTGGATTAATGTTCATCGGAATCATAATACTACAAGCTTGGCCGAATGAAGGCATCTCACAGTCAGGTACGTATAATCATAAGATACTATTTTGCAAGCAACAATAATGTTGAAATTGTGGCCGTTGAAAGGTTCATTTCAAACGTTTTTGTTTCAGTTCTGTCTCTTTCAGTTCAGGCGCTGCTTACTTAGAAACTTTGTCCGTGAAAGCATTTTCACGAAAACTCTAACTTTAAAGATGAGAAATTCGTTTAAAATTAAATCGTCAAAAAACATATCCCGTTCTGTGATCTGTATTTTTTCTACGGCAGAAAGTCGCCTTTTTCACAGGCTTCGAAAGCATCAAAAGAAATTTAATCGATAAATCTTTCACGAAGCGATGTTGGCCTGAACGCAAAGCTAGTGCTGTCAACATTACCATAGTTTTAAAGAGAGCACAGATCGGTTTCAAGTACTGTCTCTTATTGTTCTGAAGGATCTTTCATAGAGTTCATAAATCAGTGATGCGGCAACCCTTCTTGCATTAGTGTGACAAATATTCGTCGAATTAAGCGCATTGCGGAGGGCTCTGGACTGTTTGGTAAGTCAATAAACAGCTTGTTGCATGTAGGTGGGTGTATCTCTCCAAGAATTGGCTGCAAAAACTGTGGTGATTGTACCAATATGGCCATAACAGTTGATTTGCCAGGGCGCCCCTTTTTGCGCCTTGGCAAAATACGAAATAACGGCCAAGCGGTAAACGAGCGATAATTAATGCCGCAAGATAAATGGCGATCTGGAAACTTAAGAACTTCTCATGCAATATAAAGCAAGAACCACAAGCCATGCAGGTTGCCTTTTTACAGCTTCTCTTCTCTACTAAATTATTATCTGGTCTTTTCTACACAGATACAATGGTGTATGAACCAGTCGGCTGTTTCAATGATAAAAAGGATCCACGCGCTCTACCAAGATTTGTCAAACGGTACTCTGTCAACGAGACAGATTTGGCCAATTCACTCGCATCCATAATTCAGAAGTGTGCTACTGAAGCCCATAAGAAAGGCTTCTGGTACTTTGGCGTGGAATATCGCCACGAGTGCTGGAGTGGAGTGAACGGTAACATGACCTACAACATACATGGGCCAACCGGCAAATGTTTGCTGAATTATGGCGTGGGAGGTGCCTGGACCATATTTGTTTACCGCTTTGTTGAAGGTTAGTTACCAGTTGATCACTTTACAGGCAATTTAGCTCTCTGAAAAGAAGTCTGAGAGTTTCGGAACTTGTGTCATGGATGCGTAAGAGCATACCGTATTTATGATGGTTCCCGTGCTTCTGCACATGAATATTTAAAACATTAGTTCATAAGTAAAGAAATGTTGCTGTTTTGTCAAACTATCAAAGATATTTCGCGCACATCGCCAAAATGGAACGGAGAGAATTGCCCTGGGTCAAATATCTCCACAGAGAGCCGTAATTTGCACAAATGTAAAGGTAGATCACAAAACCCCAAAAGTCAACAGTTTATACACTTCATAAAGCTGTCATGTCATGGATTGTTTCTTTTAATCATCAGTGAATGGCTGTTGGAGCCAGTGGTCCTCATGGAATCCATGCAGTGTGACATGTGGAAGGGGACACAGGATACGTACTCGCACATGCTCTAATCCAGCGCCAAAATGGAACGGAAAGGACTGCCCCGGGACAAACATCTACACAGAGAGCTGCAATTTGCACCAATGTAAAGGTAGCTAGATGTCCTTATTTGAAAGGTTTCTCCTCAAAATGATTCCACCTTTTTTTGATGCTCCCCTTGCTTTTCATTCTGGAGCTGAGTTACTCTTTGATTTTTAGGATGTTTTATAATTGCATTAATATGGCCATGGCCGCATCTTATTTGCCTGGGCGCCCCTCCGCTTCTAGCGTGATGACAAAATAAAACACAGCAGCGAAGAGGTACACGAACAACAATTTATGCCGCAAGATAAATGGGATGATGGAGAACTTCTCGTGGAATACTCAGCAAGAACGGCCAGCTATGTAGGTTGTTAATTTATAGCTTGACTAATTCTCTACTAAATGATTAACTGGTCTTTGCTATACAGATACAAAAGTACTGCCTCCGTATGAACCAGTCGGTTGTTTCAAAGATAAAAGTTATCCGCGCGCTCTTCCAAGATTAATCAAAATCTACCATGTTAACCAGACAGGCTTGGCCAAGTCACTCGCAGCCATAATTCAGAAGTGTGCTACTAAAGTCTATAAGAAAGGCTTTCGGTATTTTGGCGTGGAATATCGCGACGAGTGTTGGAGTGGACTGAACGGTAGTATGACTTACAACAGACATGGGCGATCCGACAATTGTTTATGGAATTATTACGTGGGAGATGTATGGACCATATTTGTTTACCGCTTTGTTGAAGGTAAGTTACCAGTTGATCACTTCACAGGGAATTTGGCTCTCTGGCAAGAAGTCTGAGAGTCTGGGAACTTGTCATGGATGCGTAAGAGCATACCGTATAATGGTTCCCATGCTTCTGCACATGAAGATTAAAACGCTGTTTCATAGGTTAAGTTAGCTTGTATTGTTGATCGATCAGAAAAATTCTAATAAGAATTTTCTTGAGATCTGATTTAAAACAAATTTAAACCCTTACATTTAGCTAACTAATAATTATGTAGGATGATTAGCGTTTGGTTCCTCATCCAACTGTTCTAAATGTTAGTTTCCATTAGGTCTGAACATTTGTTATCTGGTATTGAGCACCTGCCTCGACAAAGCCCTTGGCTTCTCCAGTCCATTGGATTTTATTACCATACACCTTTTTTGTCGTGAACCGTGAAGTTTTTTTTTTGTAGAAAGACACCGTTTTCCAACGCCGTTTCAGAGCATAAGCCGCTCAAGTTTTATCAGTTCAAAACTTCAGTAGTTTATACACTTTTTAAAGCTTTCACATCATGGACGGTTTCTCCTAATCATCAGTGAATGGTAGCTGGAACCAGTGGTCGTCATGGCAACCATGCAGTGTGACGTGTGTGTTAAAATAAACCAACCGAGCCACAACTATCTAGGACTTTTTAATCTAAACTGAACACACTACTCGTGTACATCGTCATATAGGATCAAAAACCTAGTCGAACAACAACAACATGGCGGGAACTTGAAGCGTGCATTAAAGAGAATCAACCAATCAGCTTCTGTTGTAACGCATACATTATCATAAATATTTCAACACTCCCACTTGATAATATGCTGTTACAATAACAAAAT